AGTACTGAGAACATACATTTCAATCCGAGGGCTACAATTTGGGTACCTGTTGCGGCCTGGAATACGACAAGTTCGTCAAACGATAACTTGTGATCATTGTTCAGATTATGTGATCACTACATCAACATTGATAATTTCCGAATTCTATTCAGCACAATCATTCACGACTGTAAATTCCTATTTAAGCTCATCAAGCCACAACACTCAAGTGGAACGACAGTTTCGTACCGGATTTCTGTCAGAGTCGAAATTTGCCACGTTCACGTCAACTTCGGGAATCCTCACTTCTTTGAATTCTTCGCTCGCCGAAGTGGGAAGAGTCATTTTGAGCAATGGTGCATATCTGGAAGTTCTTCTTGAAGAAAACGTTGAATTAACGCAAGATTAACACACCTCAGGACACAAAAAATGAAAAAAAAAATCACGCCAGAACCTCCAGAATATTGGATAGCGAAGTGGTCAACAGTTTTCTGTTAAAGTAATTGTGACGAGCAATTATCTGTTACAAAGTTGCGAGTGCTTTCATAGGGTGGAACGGACAGTTCAGAATGGAGGATGAAGCTCTCAAAAGGACGGATTATCAACAAGTGCCCCAAAAAATACCTAAGAACAATCGCGCGAGCGATTGCGGCTGCACCAAACGACGACGGTGCAGCGATAACCTTGAGACAGGCGGCGATATCCACAGAGGCGGCCTCGAATCCATGATTGGTACCCTCTGCATCCGGACCAATTACAACTACGCGACGATGCGCTACCTCATCCTGATCACCTGCAATTGATCGAATCAACAATGCAGCTTTTTGCACTTTATTAAACACTGAAGATCGATTCTGCAAATGAACAACAAGCAAAATCTCTTGATATGATGCCCAAAACAACAAAAAAACAATGACAAATGAATGGACTATGCACTTTTTTTATATCAGCCCTTGCTAAGCACAACTGAAAAAAAAACGGATATCGAGCGGTGTTCGAATACTCATAGATGAGTCGCATAAGGACTGATATTTTTTCAAACAAAAAAAAACTCGCATAATTCACATGCTACACTGCCGAAAAACACCGCAGGTGTGTAAGCAAACAGAATGGTGATGCATGATAAGTATGGGAAAGTGGAAATGTGTGATGATTACCGTCAAGATCTGTGGATGAGAGGATTGAAGGTCTTCGAGCTGTTGCAAAACGAAGAATATGTCCTCGAGGTGGCAGTTTCGCACAATGTCGAATCAACTGTGCGAACTGAGATGATGTTGCACGCGGTTCACATAATTCTGAAATGTTTTCAGCTCCTAAAAAATCACCAGATACGACACTCAGAGGAACAAACAAATTGAAGAGTCAGGTCGAGGTGATCTGATGATATTTATGATAACGATGCAAACCTTTGGTGGATTTTGATTGCGCGCGATTCGGTGATGTGTTCGGTGAGGTTTCTGCAGAGTTAAGACCAGCAAATA